CGAGTTTATCACAAAGGCGATTTCGCCCGACATAGAAACCGATTTAAGACCACCATTCTCCCATACGGCAGAGACGGTCTCAATGATGGACGAGTGGAGACCAGGTCCAGGCATATCGGGATGCTTGACATGGGCCAAGCTTCCGAGCGAGGTGCCGGAACGGACTGACTGGGTATCCGAGGTTCCCGCAATACTGGCCTCTGACTGTAAAGTAGAAATAGCTGTAGGTTTTGACGATGCGGCTGACCCAGCGAAGGATGGTGAAGCGGGAATGCCGGGGAACATGGCAGTTGGCGTGCCCTCTGGGCTCATTGCATCAGGGCTACCGAATGCTGGGGGAGGTACGAGACCAGTGGGAGAGTAAATCGTATTTCGCACATCCCTGCGTCCTCTAATCGTGCCAGTACGCCTGGTTGCTGGTCCCAGCCTGAGGGAGTTGGCCACGCTCGAGAGGGCAGCCTTCTTGGCTTCGGGATCCTCGTCCTCGATAGGCTTGGTCTGGATGTTGAGCTTAAAGAGCTGCTCTGCCTCCTCTGCGTGGGCTTCCCTCTCAGCCTCCGAAATAGGGTCGTTCGCGGCCAATGGAATCGTGAATCCTTCGGAGTCCTTGGCTGGTGAACTTGGCGTTTGGTTCTGGGTTGTTGGTGCCGTGGAGCCCTGCGCCTCAGTCGTTTCGGTATTGGCGTTGGAGCTGAAGGTACCGTTTGTAGCACTCGTAGGAATAGGAGAATCCATGATGTTGTCCGTCAGCGTCACCCCGTTAGTATGCTCCTGCCCGGTCGTCTGCAATTGCGACGCAATCTTCTCCGGGTCTGGGGTGCGAGGCAGATCGGGGGCTTCCTCTAGAGTATTCAAACGGTTTTCGCGGAGGTTGCCTGAAGACGCCCGTGTGGAGAGATTGCTCTTGTCCTTTCCAGTAAGACGTCCAAAGGTAGATGTTGATGGCTTCTGTGGCGACATCCCAAATCCTCCATGCATGCTCTGCCTTCTACGGCCTCCCAAGATTGTTCCTAACCGACGCAGTTTCGACTCTATGTGCAGTGTCAGCAAAGAATGTCTAGCAGCAAGCTATTAACCATAGCCTTCATCCTCAAGACATAACTAACCTGGCTTGGGTGGCTCAACGGGAATGGGGGGTGGAGGTGGCTCGTCGCGGACTTCCTGCTCCGGAAGGGGAGGCACCTCGGGCGTTGGCTCTGGTGAAATTCTCAACGAAGGAGGAGCAGCGCTACCTCTAGTACTGGGGGGAGCGCTGGTAGAGCCTGCAACGGACGATCGTCTTGTCGAACTACGAGTTGGCAGCCTTGCCTTGCCCGCAGTCACCCGGGTTGCAAAGGATCGGACCTCGGTTTCGGTGCTAACTTCGATAACCTGTGTCAGGACTTCTGTGGCATTGTCCTGGACCCTCTGGGCGCAATCCGCCTCGTGGGTTTGGTATTGGGTCAACAGGTCACGCAGGACATTGATACGGGACTCGTCCAAAGCCTGGAGGCTCTCGAAAATAAACGGCGCCTGGGAATCCCACTGCTGTGTTGCGGACTCGAGCTTAGCGGTCGCGTCGGTTACTTTCTGGGGATTGGGCCTCCCGCCCTTCTTCGCCATCTTCTCGGTTGTGTGCTGGGCATCTTCAAGGGCCTTGGCCATGGCGGCCAGGTTCTGAGAAATGTTATTAATGTTGACGACATCCTTGCGCTGATGGAAGTTGCGAAGAGGGAATTCGATATCTCGCTCGACTCGCTCGGAGAATTGGTGGTGGCTATGGGCAACGATCTCGGCGGATTCGACCATGCGGGACCAGGAATGCTGGAAAACACTGCTCCGGGGTCAGCCTCTTCTAGAAGGGTTCGGATTGAGCTGGTCCGGTCGACTGCCGCCGCTGCTACGTGTCAGGGAGCCCGGAGCCGAGGGGATGAACATACCCAAGCTCTGATTGAGAATTCGGCACTCGGAATTGGGTCAATTTGCGCAAGCCAGTTACATACTGCTCTTCGATGCGGCGGCGTTCCTAGTTGGGCCCTCGTGCGTTAGCATGGCAACCCAGCCTCAACATCATCCACGAATCACCGGTCGCAACAGCATGGGCAATGCAGCAAGCATTGCTGAAGAGTAGCAGCTCGGCTGAATGTAAAAGATTCGTACCTGAAGCCAGTCCGCGATCTCGACGTTGATTTTATTGATGCGCTTGACTCGATCGTTGAGGGTGTGGACGGCCTGATTTGGTTGCAGGGAGGCCTAGGAGACAGAGTCAGTGGACGATGAAGGCAGGGAGAAATTGAGCTGGCGGCTCTGACCAGAATGGAGGGATACTCGGATCGCACGAGGTCCTCCATGATGTACGCAATGGGTGTTGGGGGCGTTGAAGCACAGGGGCGGATACCGAGACGGGCGAGGGAAAAGGGTGGTCGTCGGCGGAAGAATAATTAAGCAATAAAACGAAATTCAATGCGAGGACAGTGACGTAGTGCGCTGTAGGTAAAATGCGCGCATGGCGCTGCGACGGACGTGAAGAGAGCGGGAATAGACCAATGCACGTGAGGCGGGGGAGGAGGAGGGATGCGTGGCGAGGAGGGACGAGGGAAGAGGTGGGATCAGATTTGTCGAGAGACCATGGTGTGGTCGGATGAAGCTGGCGGTGATGAAATGTCGAGGCTGGTGGAAGACTGGGGTGATGAGGTAAGGCGTGACACCCTGAAGTGCCCGTGGCCTGGAGCTGCACTGGGACCCGGAGGATAGGGAAGGTCACCACCTAGCGGCTCCCTGTAGGCTGTCTCCAGCGGATACCAGTGCCCAATACGGACTACGCAGCGGGGGGCTACGCCGTTGAGCTGCTGGCGAATTGTGGGGAAGCTACTACTACACCTATGGGCAGAGCTCAAGCCCAAGCCAGTGCGCCGGGCCATCCGCTGTGGCGCCCAGCCAGCCTGTGCTTCCAGGTACCTCCCTAGCCGGTTAGAGTTAATCACTGGCAGCTGGCTGAGCTCACCATTATCATCCATGGATGCATTCGACGGTGCTGGCGATGCCCAGACGGCCGTCATATTTCTCCCATGCAAGCTCTTTGAGAAGAAACCAGGTTCCTACTAGGGTAGGCAACTGGGGCATTGGCACTGTGTGTGCGTAGCGTTGCAGGCAGCTGAGAGAACAGTTGGGTTCCACCGGGCAACCACCAGCCACACCAACTCTATAATATACCATCCATGTAAGTACCTCATGTGCAGCCGGCCACACCCATTAAACATTTCCGAAGCTGCAGGATGTCGTACTGAGGTACCGAGTAGATGTACGTTTAGTAGTACCTTGTACCAAGGACATGCGCGCAGCTGCTAGAATTAGTGCTGCCTTAGTACAGAGGTACGAGCTTTAGCACCCGAGACTCTACATTAGCATGGCCTCAGCGCTAGTGGCACCAGAAGCACCCGTGGAACCTCCTCCATTGCATGAATCTGCCAACCCAGCCAAACCCACTTCCATTACAATGCTCGACTACCATGTGAACTGAACTCCAGACGCAGCCCAAACAACATCATCCTTTCTTCCTGTCTCGCCAGACCCGAACCCCTGCATCAAGGCGCCCAATCAGTTGCGTCCACAACCATGTCTCCCGAGTGGAAGACGTCACTCTCCGCAACGGAGAGGTATGAGACTATCCAGAAAATGTAAGCCTACTATGCTCCCCACCCGCCACATCTCGACTTACACGAGCCGGCTACGATGTGATTCATGCTCAATCCCGCTAGACAATCCGACCTGGGGCTATCCATGGGCGATGCCATATCCTTGGAGCAGAACGCTTACGCCGTTTCCATCACGCGGGATGACTATTCAACCCGCTGCAGAGCTCCCCCCTCCACCCTGATCCCCCAGCATGACGCAAAGAGTGAGGCTCGCGAGGATGACGAGGCCCCAGACACCGGGATACACATTGGAACCTACCGAAACTGTGTCCCGGTCTCGGACGGCATCACGTCCGAGGTCTACCGGTCCGGCAGCACCGCCCTCAAGGTCATCGTCAACTTCCATCGGGACATTGAGCCGCACAACCCCCAGCGCGAGTCCCGCATCCTGGACCTCCTCCGCGACAAGCCCTCCATCATCCAGCTCCTCGACGTCTTCCGAGACCAGGAGCAGCGCCTCGTCCTGGCCTTCCCGTTCATGCCCCTGACCCTGGGCGACCTGCTCTCAGAACACCACCCCTCCAAGCCCCAGATCAAGCACATCTTCCACGACGTCCTCAGGGGCCTGCAGTACATCCACTCCCAGGACATCATCCACCGCGACATCAAGCCTTCTGCCGTCCTCCTCTCCTCCCCCTCGGGCCCCGCCTTCCTCTCAGACTTCGGCACCGCCTGGCACCCCGACCTCTCCGCGGCCACCGAGCCGCCCTCAGCCAAGGTCCTCGACATCGGCACGGGGCCCTACCGCGCCCCCGAGGTCCTCTTCGCCGACCGCGCCTACGGCCCGCCAGTGGACATGTGGGGGCTGGGCGTCATGCTCTCCGAGGCCGTCTCGGGCGCCCCCGTCTTCGAGTCCCGCCCTTCCCACGAGGACGGGAACCAGCTGGGGCTCATACTCAGCATCTTCAAGACGCTGGGGACCCCGACGCCCGAGACGTGGCCCGAGGCTAAGGATTTCAAGATTACCCCGTTCGAGATGTGGAATATGTTCCCCGCGAGGTCGTGGGAGGAGGATATCCTCCCCGACGTCGATCCGGGGTTCAGGGAGCTCGTGACCGGCATGGTTCGTTATGACGGTAAGAGGACCACGGCTGAAGAGGTATGTCATCGTCTTCTCTCCCCTTCGGTCCCCGATCGTCAGCAAGTCTGTCTAACATCAGCCATTTTCTAGGCCCTCAAGTATATCGAGAAATTGGAGCTGCAGCCTGAATGAACATCGAATTCAATTATTCTATCGCTAACCCCCTTTTTCTTTCCAACCGTGTGTACTTGGCCCTCCTCTTTTTATCCCGCCGAAATACCACATGCACCCCTTCCCCTCGTCTAAACCTGCCTCCTCTTCGCCGTATCCGCCCCGAGGTAGTCGATGGGGTTCCTGCACAGCGGGCAGGTATTCTGGTTACTGCTCTGGAACCACTTGTACAGACAGGTGCGGTGGAAGAGGTTCTTGCAGGTCGTGCACCGCTTGTCGGGCATGCGCTTGTCCGTCGAGATGATGCTGTAGCAGATGGCGCACTCGCCCTGGCCCTTGAGCGCCCCGATGATGTTCCGCTTGAACACCTGCAGGCCGTCGATGATGTTGCCGTTGGAGAAGGTGATGACGCCCTGCGTGGTCATGATCCACCCCTGCCACTTGCGCTCCGTCACGGCCACGCGGCTGAGGCTCGACACCGTGACGCTGTCGATGGGGTAGCTGGGCGGCACCTTGATGACGATCGCCGCCTGCGACTCGTCGACCTCGTAGCCCGCGGTGACTTCTCTGGCTGGTTTCGATACCTTGACGAGCAGCTCCTGCTCGTCTGGGCCAGGGGCTTCCTGGTTCTCTGCCCAGTTCTGCACCTCCTCGAGTACGTTCTCGATGATGAGCGGGGAGAAGTACTTGGTAGTCCATGCCTCCACGGCAATCTTTGTCTGCTTTGAGCGGCAGTCGAGGTACCATGCACGGAAGAGTCCAGGTGTGTATTTGAGCGTCAGGTAGAACAGGTGGACAAGCAGCCACTGCATGTTCTTCTCTCCATCCTCCGCCTCCGCAATCTTGATATCGTAGTCTCGGATGTGCTCGTCCTCAATCTTGACCTTGTCGAGTTTGATGGCGTGCGCAGCAGAGTGGCCGAGGACGTCAAACATGAACTCATACAGCGGGATCGAGCAGCCCTCAACCTTGAGGTGCTCAGTGAAGTCGGTCCGGATTTTGAATGATGAGGATTCAAAGGTGTCAAACACGAGCTTCCACGCCAAGAGGTACGTGCGCAAGGATGGGGGGAACTGCGAGAGCGTTTCGTCTGAATATTTTTCCAGGGTAGGCGCATCAAGTAGAAGCGAGAGCAGTTCGTCCGGCAATCGTGCATCTGAGTAGTCAAATATTAGCATAAGCCATAGAATATCAGCTTGAATTTCTACAACGTACCTGTCTTGTCCAAGAGGATATTAACCGACTGCTGCTCTTGTTGTGATGGGATCACTCTATGTAAGATATTGAACCCTGCCGTCTGGATATCGCGCGAATCGGACGCGATCAAGGGATATATTTCAGATAGGTCGGGGATGAGTCGGATAGGAAGCTTCTCCATCTCGCGGCATATCATCCCATCTACAACCTCGAGAGGCTGGGTGTTGGTGTCCCTGTCGAGCTTGAGGAGTTCAACGAGGCCTGTAGATGCTTGCTCGGCGAATTCTTTCAATGCATCTTCAAGATCATCGTTGGGTTCCGGGAGTGTCTTGAGGGTCTTCATCAACTTGAGGGAGGAGTGGATGAAGGGCAGGGCTTCGGATAGAGGGTAACCCCCAGCCTTCGCCCACAGTGTAACACAGAATTCGATTGTCTTTTCCCAGTATGACCCATAGACATCCTTCATGCATGGGAGGAGCTGGTCCAGCGCACGGCAGATTTGGGCAGAATCAGATGCACTCACGTTCTCAGGTTCATCAAGCCATGATGTAAGCTGCCTTACCGCGAAAACTATCCGGTTGTTTGCCACCGGCAGCTCACCCTGCTCGTACACTTGGCCACAAATAATAACCAACGCAAGAGAGACACGGGCCTTCTCTGACCCAAGAGCAGCACCGGAAATCTCACTGACAAGGCGGTTGCACAAGTTATTAACAGCCTTCAACGGTTGTGCTGCTTCTCCAAGCCCAGCCAAGACGGCCCCGGCGACGAGTACAGTGTCGGGCGATGCCTTGAGTACATCTACTTTGAGCAACTTCTCTTCCATGAGCTCGGTCACAGTTTGGGCTTCAACCCATGACTGCACAAGTTCGTAAAGCGCCCGAGATGTGTAGAAACCACGAGCGGTCAATGCCTTAGCCTGGCTCATCAGTAAATCTAAAAGTCGCAGGAAAGCGGCAGAGACATCTTCTCCAGATTTGGGAACAAACTGAGAGTTGAGAGTGCTTCTGAAGGAAGATATGAGCTCCTCGGCTTCAGCCGTGGCTTTTCGGGGTTTCAAACTGGCCCAGGGGCCATTTTCAGACATTAGAGTGATTTGATCAGAAACGAGTTGTACCGTGACGCACTGGAGACTAAGGAGCTCAACCTGGAATTGCTCAGGTAATTTTGAGAAGATTTGGCTCTCTTGAAGCATGCTGTTGAGGTAGAGTGCCATCCTCACAGGAACAGAGCGGCCCTGTCGATCACGCTGCAACTGTCCAGGCAAAGTCTCCTCGGTTTTGTTCTGGATCAAGGCTACAGAAGCTCCGACATTGCTCGTGATGGACAGCGATGGGTCAATGGGTCGCTCAAATAGCCTCTGTAGTTCTTTAGTCCAAACCAGAGTGCTAGGGAACAGATCTTCTGCCTGCGAACTCGGTGCATTCTTAGCTTGCTGGAGCACTGTCTCGATCCTGGGAATGTTTAGTATACAGTGCATGAGTATAGATTAGGGGGATTACAACATACCCAAGTGCTTGTGGACCAGCACGGTCAAGATTGGCTTGGATGATACTCATAACAGGCAACTTGCCATCTGAATGGCCGTCGAGAAGCTGCCGAATCGTAGAGGCCTGTCCGGAGATCTGGCCTTCACCAATCTCGGAGAGTCTGAGCAGCTGAGCTACCAAGGCAGTGTGGAGTTCCTCATTTTCGGAGAATAGTTGTGGTCGGCCCTTGACTAGGATTTCCAAAGCTTTGAGCGCTCTTTCGTTGTGCTTACTTTGTTCCAGAAACCCCAAAGCCTTCTTCGCAATTATCTCGTAAGAAATATCATCGACGGCACTGTATGTTACGGCGGTTTCAAGGAGATCCCAGGAACCTGATTCGCTCATGACGGATGCCAGAGCTCTTGTAACAATCGCATCCTGTAGCTCCTTTCTTCTCCTAGCCAACTCAGACGCCTTCTCATGTGAGAGTAGTGAAGCAAGCGCACCATCGTTTATTGGTCCTGAGGGCAAACCAAGAATAGCGCTGAGCCAGGTGTTCCAAAGCTGCGCAAAATCTTGTTCCCTCGAGGCAAATGGCCCCAAAAGGCGAAGCCAAGAAAATAGATACCGGGAGGACGGTGACTCAATCACTTGAGTTATATTCTCCCCGCCCACGGAAAGAAGCAAGTTAGACACTTCAGTCCACTTTTCGCTGTTGAAAAGGTGAGGAGCAGTGCTGAGAGCGTATTCAACAATCCGCGCGGCTCCGAATGGTTTGAGGCTACGCTTCTCCAGGAGCGAAATGGATTGAGAAATGACCTGTTCGGATGCAGCCTTGGTGTGGTCGACCTCAGTTTCACCCAGCTCGTGTGTCTTCTGATATATTTGCCCAACGAGGCCAAACCACCGTCTGCCTTCTTCCCCAATCTTCTCCTGTGATGCCTCAAATTCTTTAGAAACCTCTGGTAGCGAGTTGGAGATATTCTCAGACAGCCTCGTAGCGTAGTTTTCCCATTCCTGGGAGAATTCGGAGGAAAGCAACGGGTCTGCCTTTGAAAGGAAGATGTATGCGTCCACAAAAATAGACATTGCATTTGGTCCAAGGGGTATTGAGTTTGGCTTTTCTGAGACGGCGAAAAGAAACTGTTCGAAAAGAGGGAAGATGTGTTTCTTTCCAAAGGCTAGCTGGTCTTCACCCCCCAACGACTGCAAGAGCCTCTTCGCGGTATCGATAAAACACTTCCAGGCAAAAGAGGTGTTGGTCCGAGGCTCATCCCGGTTCGTAACTCCAGACAGCAAAGATGCTAGAAGCGTGGAAGAACCTTCGAGTCCGAGGGTAGAAGTGGGCATAATGCTCAACAGTTGATCCAAAAATTCCCAAAACTTGGCAATGCTACCTTGAGAGCCTTTAGCGATGAAGGCGTTCAGTCTTGTGAGGGGGGTTTTCTTTTCTCCGGAGGAAACCCAAATATTAGGGTCTGCCTGTGTAAGCTTGGTAAGGGCTCGAACATATTCCAACGCAGATCCAAGCTGATTTGTACGGAGACCGCCAGTTACGATGGCTTGTCTCGCCTTTGGTTCGTCCGAATAGGGGAGTTTCCGGTCTAAGCAAACAAAAAAGAGCTGACAGACGGTCTTCCTAACAGATGCATCACCAGATGTGATTCCCTTCCATACACTATCGTGTGAGAAGTACTCGTCGTATTGGGAACGGAACTTTTCGATATCAGCACTCTCCACCTTCTGGAGAAGGCCAAGAACCAGAGACAGGCTGGCCGTTACCACCCTGGCATATTTTGCCTCCGAGTCTTCCTTCGTAGTTGACCTTTCATCACTTAGCGTATCTTCCGTTTCCTGAATGGCACTTGTAGCAAAATCCAAGATCTGAGCTTGGCACTTCCTCCAAAACGCCACCACTTTCTCGGGGGTCGTGAGAAAGGAGGAGAGGCTATCGTTGGCTGCTCGAGCAACGACCCGGTCTCGGTCATAAAGCCCCGCCAACCATGCACCCACGACACTGGGTATTTGCCTCTCCATCCGCTTTCGAGCAGACTTCATCAGCTCGAGCTGCAGATTGTGGGCGAGCTCCCGAACACGGCGAGAGTTGTCGATAGAGGTTCGTGCGTACACCTGTACCCAGACGTCCAAGACAGCATCCTCGACACCGCCATCCTTCTCAAAAGGATGAGCCTGCACATAGGCTACGAGCTCTTCAAGAGCCTTGCTCTTGGTTGTGGGGTCCTTCTTCAAGACGTTCTTCAGAGAGACGACAACGTTAGGGTCGGAGATGGCATGAAGAGAGGGGGGCTCCGTGAGATATGAAAGGGAGCTGGAACCTCCAGATGCGCCAAATCCAGACCCTGGGCCAGGGAAAGCACCAAATGCTGACGAGCCACCGGATGCAAACCCGCCAGCGGTCTTGCCCTTGGATTTCTTCATTGTGGAAGCTGCGGGCGCACACTCGCGCAACTGTAGTCTGGTCAAATCATGCAGTTGAGGGCCGGTCCTCTTTACAGCCGCGACGGAGATAACGTAGCAATGCCTTTGCGCGAGTTGCAGGAGCCTATCTGCGCGCTGAGAGCTCGTTGGCGATCGATGTGTGTCTTTGAGCGTTGGTGGGGGTTTGCGCAGAGTCGATGAGGGCCAAGGTGATGTCACTGCGGGGGAAAAAGTACAAGGGCTTCATCGCAAAGTGAGTGCCTTGGGCGCACATTATTGGGCCCGCCTCAGGTACACGGGTACAATAGACCTCACGGAGTATTACTCACTCGCCGGCTCACAAATAGGTCCCCACAGAACACCTCAAATCCTCTCAGTGTCAGAGGCCTACCTACTCCACCAAGCGCACTGCGCTCCAACGTCGATTACCAATTCCATTCACTCAAACAACTTCCTCGTCTTCAATTAATACCCACTAGCTGGAGGTAAGCATCTAGCAAGAGGCATCGTTGCCGGCACCTCAGCCCGCCCAGCATCAAACTCCATTTCACATTCTGTCAGAGAATCTAAGAGACCACATGCGTTGTGGCCATTAATTCTAGCTACGAGATCGCTTTCATAGGTAGGTTTATATTCAATAATGTCATCGGAGTGCGTCGAATAGGTCAAAATTCATCCCACGAAAATCCACATCGGCAGTAGCTATAGAGGATATCAAGGTAGTCATGAGAGAATTTAGTCACGTCAAAATATAGCACAGGCATGGGCATCGCAAGTGATTATCTCGGCATAGGCAGGCGGAAATAGGCTGGCCACTTTCCTAAATTTGTCAAAAGGTGAAGGGATATCTTGTTTGTACAAGCTGATTAATCTTTCAATATCAGTGCAACAACTGAGAGGATGAATAGTAGCTCATCCGTCCGTCCTACCTCAAGTCCGTTCCTTTCTTTGTGCTCAATGCCATGGCCCATCTGTATCCTCGCAATCTGAAGCATCAACGTCTTCTAGACTCTGAGAATGTGTATCGCAGAACAAGATTATTCCTTTGCGAAATCTAGGTCAGTGTGCAGAAGTATTATCCTGGCGGAATGCCGTGCAAAATTCCTTCTCCCATCTGCGCTTACTCTTATAGACACAACGGCCACTGTCCTTGATTCTTTGATCAAGATCTCAAGCTGAGACAAGTCTTACAATCCCTTTATGACTACCTACCCTATATGCCACCATCTCGATTGACCTTTTAGCGATCATTAGATTTACGGATCAAAATAACCCCCCAATATTCGGTCATTAATGAATCATGTAGGCAGTCTTTAATATATAAAGAGCAATGCGATGATGAAACCGAGCAAAGTTCTGGTCTTGCTGTATACACATGATCACGGACAAACCGGTGGTGATCGGAGAAGAGGAGCAGCCGGGCGCTAAACATCGATCGTCCTTCAGAGCTACTTGCCTAGCTCCATCGCCATCCGATTGAGCAGTGCTTAGCGCAAGACACGTGACACCAAACTATCTCCGGCTAAGCATGCCCAAGATGCTTGGTGCTTTCCTTTCCGTCTTGACCCATGGCAGATGCCCATCACCCATGCGGCTGTAGGCATCCATGGATCTGTGTGGAGACCTGCGGGCCTTCTCGCCATTCGCCAGAGTCTCCCTGCTGCTCGGGGCATCTCGGCCATTCCTCAGCCAGCCCCTCAGTCAGACACAATACCGACGAGACCACGGCGTCAGCGGCTCGCTATGCCGAGCCTGGCACGGTCGAGCTGACCTTGGCGTGCAGCTTGGCGGAGTTCTGGCCTGGTCCTCGTGTGACACATGCAGAGGGGGGAATCTGTCCATCGATGGATAGCGCGCATTTACCCCGCAAGCGCCCCTGCCCGACCTGGAGTCCAGAGGCTCCGGTGGCTCCAGGGGCCCCATTCCCCCAGAACCCTCCCTGGAACCTCCCTGGTCAGTGGAGGTTGACTGTAGTCCGCACCATGAGATCATCCCAAGCCTGCCTGATTTGAATTCGTGTCATTGGATCACATTTGTTTGTCACGATGGTAGCGTAAACCTCAATCTCCTCCTCCTCTTCGTAAAGCACTTCGTCTCTCTCCTCTTTCCATCCCTTCTCCCGTGCATCACCGCCAGCCTACCTGCTCCGGCCAGTATCATCTCCACCTGCGCCTTGACCCTCGTGCATCTGCTCCGCTTATGTCCTCGGACCATTCTCGACGTCACTGACCAGGGCCCCCATCAATCATCATCGTACTCGGGTAGGGGGAAGATAAGCCTCCATGCTTCTGACCTCGGTGCTCAATTGCCCTCTTCCATCCACCGAGCGTGCTTGTTGACTACTCGAGTGCTAAACGGACGACCAAGCTGCACTTCTGGCTCTCCGTCCAAGCTGGGCAATATCCTCCTGCTCTCCAAGATGCTGGCCACGGCGACGTCGCGCAGCACCATGGGTGCGCGAAGATTACCATCGCAGCATCACATGTCGAGATCGTCTGCCGCTTTGGCGAGTGGCATATCTTCATCATCTGCCCAGCACTGTCGATGCTTTTGCTTTGGTGCAAGGGAGACGAGGGGCCGACGCCGCAATCTCCGATACCGTCACATGGAGTCCATCCATCGGCAGTTGTCGTGGGAAAACCAACCTCGAACCGACGACACGAAGCCCATCATAAAGAAACACATTACTCTATCCACAGCACCGTTTGCAAAATTCGGCTCGGGCGACGGTAATGCGAATGTTGGCGAGATCAAGTCCTGGTCCGATGACCTGTCGGGTATTCGCCCTGGCCGAAATATTGAGGATGTAGAACGTGAGGCCATCAACCACTTATTCGGCAGTTACCAGCATGAAATCTGGAGATCGCCGCTGAACAGTATCCGAAATCTACTCAAATCTCACCATACTCCAAAGGAGAATGCGCCGGACAATGTGACCCATGCTACTCCCTGGGTTGACAGTGACTCTTACATCGACCCAATCACGAATCGTAGAGTATCCAATGCCAAGTCCGTCGACTCAGAAACGGCAGCGTCTATACCAAAATATGATGACGCTGACAAGTACGGCCCATCGAAGTGGAACGAACCTGATGGGCTTCGGAAGCCTACTGCCGAGGAGCAGTCCAAGAAATACCAAGACCTTGGACAGTATAAGCCGATTCTAGGCAGTTCAGATAGTTCCAAAACCCCCGTTGCCGAGGAGAATATCCAGTGGTATAACGACTTGGGAAAATACAAACCTGTGCAGTGGAACGAACCGCATGGTCTCCAACAGTCAGCACCAGAGGAAAAATCCAGAAAGTACAATGATTTAAACGAATATGCGCCTACATTGGACAGTACAATCACTCCACGAGGAGTCACCGAGGAAACAATACAACAATTCACTGATTTGAAGAACTATAAGCCATCCTCTTGGAACGAGCCTGACGGGCAACAGACTTTGACCGCTGAAGAGCAATCCAAGGTGTATAAGGATCTGGGGTCCTATGGTGCTGTCAGTTGGAATGAGCCTGATGGCCTACCCGATGCAGAACCAGAGGAAAAGTCCAAGCAATACGATGACCTCGGGACGTACAAGGCTACGCAGTGGAATGAACCGGATGGCTTGTGCAAGCCCACTCCAGAAGAGCTTTCCAAGAACTACGACGACCTTTCTAAATATAACGCAGTACAATGGAGAGAACCCAATGGCTTGCCAACTCCTACCGAAGAAGAGCGTTCTAAGAACTACGCCGACCTTGGGGAGTACAAATCTGTACAGTGGAATGAGCCTGATGGACTACCCTCTCTAACGCCCGAGGAAGCATCCAAATCTTATGGTGATGTGGATAAATATGGCCCAGTGGCATGGAGCGAACCTGATGGTCTTCGACCACTGAATGCTGAGGAGAAGTCAAAGAATTATGACGACCTACAGAAATACAGTGCCCCATTTGTCGCCAAGGCATCTGTGTTGGAAGAATTCGAACGAGCCCAGTTGGATACAACGCCCAAGGGAAACACACTCCCCCCGAAGGTCGAGGTCAAATCAGAGGACCCGGCGAAGGAATACACAGACCTGGCAGCTTATGGGCCTGCCAGATGGAATGAACCCGATGGTTTGCCAAAACCGACTGCGGAGGAGCTCTCGAAAAACTACAATGACCTCCATATGTACAGGCCAGCTCAATGGAACGAACCTGACGGCCTGCCATCCCGAACACCCGAGGAGAAATCAAAGGACTATAAAGATGTGCACGCTTATAGTGCAAACTCTGAGGGAGAACTCGAAGCTGTTCCCGAGAGGATCCACCCGGAAGAGGCTTCTAAGAACTACAATGATGTGGGGTTATATGGTGCTGTACGATGGAATGAACCTGATGGGCTTGGAAATCTTACTGCGGAAGAAAGATCCAAGGCTTACTCTGACCTTCCAAGCTATGCAGCTCAGGATGCTCCCGCCGAAGATGTGGTCGTGCGAAGGCACCCGGAAGAAGCCTCCAAAAACTACAGGGACCTTGCTGGATATTCTGAGCAAATGGATAGCTCTGCTACACCACGGGTTCACCCTGAGGAGGCTTCGAAGGCGTACCAAGATCTCGCAAAGTACGAAACCCAAAAATTTGACTCTCCCGACGAGAACCGTCCAATCCATCCGGAGGAAGCCTCCAAGGAATACAAGGACCTAGGCAAGTACTCTGCCTCATTTGAGCAGGCAGAGACAACGGAACGAACTCACCCTGAGCAGCTGACCAAACAATACAAGGATTTGGACAAGTATGCTCCTAAGTCATTTGATCCAGCCAACAAGACATACCCGGTTCACTCTGAGGAAGCCACCAAGGCTTACGAGGACCTTGATCTGTATGGTACCGCATCGCATAACGAGCCCGATGGGCTTTCCGGAAAGCACCAGGACCCCACCTCCCAGGGACTGGGACCTTATGATTCCAAGGTACGAGCCGAGCAGGAAAAGACTTTGACAATGGGACGACACTGGGGCCAGGCCAGCAAGATGTCATCGAGCACCCTAGAAAACAGTATGGACTCTCTGGATAACTTGACAGCGCAGGACATTCGCGCTGACGTTCTTCGAAAGGTGCAGGAAAATAGACAGAATGAACCATTGGAGAGTGCCAAGGCAGAGCACGAGTCCTCCTGGGATGCTACAACGAACCAGGCGAGAGGCCAAATTCACGACGCAAAGACCAAACACACACATCGACTGACAGGAAACTATATCCAAGACTTCTCGGAAGGCTTTGCCCGATCTTGGAGCACCGAAAATTCATCCACCGGGACAGCACTCTTCCCTAAGGATCTCTCTGGAGATGGTGGCAATCAGAGCAGCCCAGCCAAGTCTTCTGCAGTGGAGCCAGAAGACGAGCCCGACCTCGAGTCCATGGACGGGTGCTTCCCCACCGAGACCTTTAGACCAGAGCCGGCCTTGAATCGACAACTATCAAAGGCTTCATCGAAGGGACGAAACAAACTTGACGACTCAACTACTGGTGCGACCGCGGCTGGAACTGCAGCGGGGCATTTGGCTACTAGCGAAACTGGACAGATGCCTGACAGTGAGGCCGAATCATTTGCAATTCCGCAGCAAGCTGAGAATCCCTCGACGGAATCTGCAACACCGGATAAGGCCGCCACCGGCGAGAACAAGGTGGTCAGCTCCTTCAAATTGTTGGCATACGATTCCTCGTCAGACAAAGTCCAGATGGCTGACGCCACCTCGGAACTGCCTCAGTCAACATCTCCCCAGACCGCCACTGATCTTATTCTCAACTTGAACAATGCTGCCAAATTCTTCCCGCATATTTCAAGTCTCCAAAGCCGCGGGTATGAACTGGTGTCAGGAAACAAAGATGTCCTCGTACTCCAAAAGGTGCGAGAAGCCTCTACGAGTGTCGAAGGAGAAGGACCAGCTGGAACAACAGCCCATCATCGCGTGAACCCAATTGACATGATGGGTCGGTCTGTAACGGGAAATTTCGCAAGTCCAACTGGTTTCGTCAATTACGATACTGTGTTCGAACCTGTGTCAAAGAATCCAACCTCGACTCACCAAGCCGAGCCTAACACTTACCAAGAAGAGACGGAAACCAGAAAGCAGGAAGACCAGGGAACTCGTAAGAAGAGAAGTATTGGGAGGAGGGCCATCGTGGGCGTGGTATGGATTGCTGGAGTCTCATATGCGGTTGGAGCCGTTGCAGAATCCCTCACAAGACGAGCTCCTTTGTCCGAAAGAACGCCCCCATCGGCGACAGGGCCTGTCGCCGGTACAAGGGCGGGTTGAGAAATGAGGACACTTTTTTTTTTCTTTTTTTTCACTTGCACACCGAGGTTTTTATCGGCGTTGACTGGGCAGGAGTTGGAGGAGTTGAATTCGAGGGTGTATGGATGCATCCGATGGATTAGGTTTTTCATTTCTCATTTTGTAGTAGTAATTTTCTTTTCTACTGATACCAGATACTTGAATCCACTCTCCCATTCTTAAGGAGCGTAAAATAGGTCCTTCCCCACGATGCAGGTTGCCAGGAGACCCTTGTGCCTCGAGACCATTTTGGATTCCCAATCCCACTGCGGGGAATCAAGCTGTGTTCTTAGACTCCCCGTCGGCGATGCCGGTCATCTGCAGCGCTCTCTTCTGATCCTCCTTGCTCCAGCTCTGGCGACGGTCAAGCTTGGGCGTCCAGCTGTTCGTATGCTCCAGTGCGTGCTGGGCGGCGCGAGTATCAGTTGGATGCGCCGCGTCCGTCTTGGCGTGAGCCGCCTCGGTCTGGTTAGCGGGACGGGAGGGGATGGTCTGCTCGTCTGAGGGGGCCATTTTGGATGTTCTGTGTATAGACGGGTGATGAGATGTAGTAAGTAGCGTTTGAGTGCTCGGTTTGATTGGGACTCAATTGATGATGAGGCGGAGGTGTAGGAGAGGAGACGGATGGCTCTAGGCGGAGCTTTAGATTGAGGTCTAGCTAGGTAGCTACTAAGTAAAGAGCTATCTGGTTGGGGAAGAAGGTAATTGATGTGCGTTCGCCACTTGGAATGTGTGTGATGTCGGCCAAGCGGCCATCCACCCACCCTTCCAGTGACATTTGTCCAATCGGCTATTCCACACCTCCGCATCTTGTGCTGGATGGCATGTCATTCTCCCAATTGTTCGTATTATTGCCCATCAGATCAGACGGCCATTGTTTTTCTGTAATCGTCCCAAATCTTCAATTCATTGTTGGTCGCCATGTTCTTAAACCAAGGTGAGGTATAGGGTGACAGACAAAGCTCATCAAATCATATCATTCCGACAGGCCAAGACAAGCTCGTCAATTAAACCGGGCGGTTAGTGTGGTCCAATCAACCGACCAGACTTCGCGTATTCTCAAGGCATCTAATCTGCTTCTTTCTTTCATTCTTCCGTAGCCAATCCAATAATCTGCCGTCATCATTCACTCATTCTCAATGCATCACCAATGGAAACTACTAGCGCAGAAAGCAAAGCAAAAGCGTATGGGAATGAGTAAATAAAAACCGAAATGCTGAAACCATGCAAATGCTCTTTTACAACACACACAAACTCCATGCCAAAAATAATCATCAAAAAAAGCCGAGAAATAAACTCCGAGGACCTCATTCAGGGTCGCCAATGTCATCTCATCGCAAATCCCAATTCCTGCCAAAGACCATCAAAATTCAAGGAAGAAAGAAACAATGAATGCCCCAGAAGCCATGATGCCTGTTCGCCTCCCCTTCTTCCCCCCTGATCCGTGAAAACCATCATCGCCATCACATGCTTTTGTTTTATTCCTTTCCCTTCAGTCATTCCCCTCACCCCATCGACAATGTCCAAGAATAGAGAAAAGCAAGTGGCTGACGCCTGTCTTGCGTGTGCTGGGCGTGTGTGTGCCGCATGCTGTCCGCGTCCAATCAAGCAGGGACGGGATACTGGATGGAATGTGTGTAGCAGGAAAGAAGCAAAAATCGTGGTTCGGGTTCTCACCCCGTGTATGCGAGTGAGAGAAATAGGAAGGAAATCCTTTCGTATGTACAGATGTTTGGCCGTATGTAAATGAGCGGCAGAAGAGTCGTAAAGAGTGGGAGGGGGTATATAGCGCGCTCATGTCGCTCCTCCTTCTCACGCCTTCGTGAATGCAACAGGTTTGAATGCAATGGGCTACGTCGAGAAACGCTGGATCACAAGTGCATCTAAGGTGTCTTGGGGCGCTTCCAGTAGTATTGCTATGAGAAACAAAGTTAGTGATTTGTTCGATTTGAATTGAGATCGTGTTGTAATCCATACCTTGTGTTGCTTTCTGCAGGCCCGTAGACTGGGCTTTCTAAGCCCATCGACGACAGCGGCCCTTCGCTGCTCGTCCGTGTCGAATTCGGGAACGTAGTAGTACTGGCTCTCGAGAGCCTTGCCGGCTGCATCCTTGCCTTCACGCGTGATGAAGCCAATGCAAGCGGTTGACTCGATGGCGACGCGGAGCGAGGCGGTGGTTAGTCCCTCCTTGGCATCGCCGGGGAGGTTGTGTAGGATGGTTGAGAGGGGAGTGGATGACAGCCTGGAGTAGGCAAGCTGATTGATAACGTGGTTGGTAATGGAGGGGTTCAGTTCCACGATAGGCGCAGGCTTCTCCTCCTCCTTGATCTCTCCCTCTTCCTGTTGTTCTTTCTCTTCTTCTTTGACCTCTTCTGGTGTCTCAGACTTGGTACGTGGCTCCTCCTGAACAGGTTTCAGAGGGGAGGATGGGATCTCGGGGAAAAGTGTCCTGGCCAGCGACACTTGCTTCGTCTTGAAGGGAGAAGCTCTGGGCTTTGGTGAACGCCTCAGCTCCTTGGGAGAGCGCGTGGAGATGTTGGCGAAGCGACCGGAGATGTTTGCGCCAAAGGGACCAAACGAATGGACAATAGGGTCGTTCTCCTCGTCGGGGTCCTTCTCGTCATCATCCTCACTGTCATGGTCGCTCAGCTCGCTTGAGAAGCTGGCCGTCGCCTCGGTCCGCATGCTGACATTAACATCCATGGGGTCAACGGGCTCGGGCAGCTCAGGCTCCGCCTCGTCCTCAAAGATCTTGATGCTGAGTCCCTCTCTAGGGGAGAACAGAGACTGGTGAAGACGCTGGGAGCTGGTTAGGCCGGCTGGGGTGGGACTCTCGGGGGAGGCCATACGGCCGGAACGACGCAAGGGAGAGGAGTGGAGGATGGAAGCCCTACGGCCTACAACTTCGGGTGAGTCCCAGCTACCGTCCGACATATGGGCAAACGAATCAGCCCCGCGGCTGGGCCATTGGAGAATTACCCGCGAACCGAGCACGTCCAGGATGATGTCAGTGCCCTCCGTCTCGCTGGTGAAGCTATCGCCCTTGAAGAGTTCCCAGGTTCTACCTTGCGAGTGCAACTTCAGCCCGTTCCAGCCAGGGCACGAAATCTCAATCTTGGAAGGCTCCAGCGGGTTAGTAGCGGCCACGTACTTTGCCTCGACATGCACTCGGGACACAAGGCGGAGGTTGGGACCCGCCGGCAGCTGGTAGTGGGAGGAGTTGGAGGAGCGTCCCATCAGCAGCGGCTCGCCGTTCTCGGGCAGTTCAACTGTGGGGAGAGCACCCAATGGAGCTCTCTCGCTGGCCCGGGCAGCACTGGACGCCTGCACGAAGTCGGACCGTCTAGCAGGAGGCGAGCTGGACATGATGCCGGTGCTCGAGGTCGGTACGGGAGTGGGGAGTTGCCTCCGGCCGTTTTCCTTGTCGCTGCCATGGCCCCCGGTGTTCTGTCGCTTAAGCGGGCGGGGAAGGCCTGGCGAGGACGAGGGTTCGAAGGCTGGCAGCAGAGAAGGCGCGCGTCTTTTTACGCCGGCGACGGCACTTGAGGAGGGTTCAGGTGTGGAGTTCTTGGAGAATGGCTTCAGCTCTGGGAGTGTAGGCTCGTGGGCGAGCGAGTCGTCGTGGGAAGAGCCGGCCATGATAGGCGAGTTGTGGATAGTCGGGAGGGCGGTTAGGGGTACGAGTCGGTGGCAGAAATCCTCAAATCACTGATTCATGACCATGCAGTATTCGAAACCGGAAATAGTCGAAAAGCCGTTTGGACTGGGAAAGGGGTGTAGAAGTCGGTTATCACGTATGGTCGCGGTGGTGTCGTGTGCGTTGTGCGGATGACACTCTGTGAGATGCCCACTTACACGATCCTCGGCTTCTGAAGAGGCGGCGACGACAGCAAGGAGGTGGTAGAGGCGGTTGAGGCTCAAGGATTGTTATGATCAGACATGCAATTAGAACAAGGAGGGAAAAGTCAAACGATGAGACCTTGGGTCGCCAAAAGTGGTCGGTGTGGTCGAGTGGGAGTGGAAGGCGGCCTGGGAAGAAGAGACCTGGAAGAGGAGACTTGGGTTGGGGTGGGAGGTATTTTAAACGGCGTCCGACACGAACGCGATGTGGGCGTTCGCGTTTGGCGTCGCCGTTGTACCTGGCCGTAGCGCAGTCCAGGTGCCTGCGCCAACCGCTGTAAGGGGGGCCTAGGGGGCACCTGCAGGGACCGTTAGCAGACGTGTTCCAGCGGTCCAGCGCCTGAACGGCCGCGAGCCACAGCGGTAGCCCTTCTGTATTCCAGCACGTCGCGGGTCCGCTGCCAGCCAGTCCTTGCTCACTCACGTATGCGCGCACCGCTAGACCTTGCCCTTGTCTAGACCTGCTGCAAGCTTCAGACGGCTTCGATGCTCGATCGATCGCATCCATGGAATGCAATTTAGATTTCCTTGCCCATGAGAAAACCACCTTGTGGATCGTTCTGCCGTCTTTCATTTACGAAGCACCTGGCTTAGTTCAGACGAAAGCTATTGAAGGCGCCAATGTATCTGCGAGAGTGCGGCTTTGTTTGCTGCTTATCCTCATGGCACACGTCAGTTCAGATATTAATAAATGGCTGTCACGCCTGGAAGGTACCTATGCGCTGAGAATGATGCCACCGCTTAATTACCTGCTGAGGAGTTACTTAGCCTGTTCAATTAACCTGGCCCGCAACCCACTCTGATTCAGAGTCAGCTTCCGATCAGACTGAGCAACCTGGCCATTGTCTCGAGGAGAATTTTCCCTTTCTTCGATCTGTTTCTTCACTTGAGGATACTGTCCACCTTAGTTTTGCCCAATAGCACGGATGCATATTCTCAGCATTCTCCCTTTTGGTGGCACCGCTGCTCCGTCCAACCTCTTTAGCTCTCCGGTGCTGACCGCAGCTTAAGACACGTCTCCACCCCGCCTCGGTGATGTTCGCGTTTTTTGGTGACACGCTGCCCCGTGCCTTGGTCAGGGTTTAAAGCTGCCAGCAGGATCTGTGTTTAATAGGCCAAGCTATTGATTGCTTTAAATGTACGTATCTTTTCCGCTCTCCGCCCATCCGCAGCGCACAATACTGCGTGATGCCTATTGTGGCCAGCCCATCTTGCCGTTTCCTTTGTCACATGCAAGCTTCCGGGCCTGAGCGTACAGCGTGGCCATGCAGCCAGGAAGCATAAATCAATCATGCTTCCAAATAGGCCACGCACCTGGACCCAGTTGTCAGGTATCCAAGACGCGAAAAGGGAAGAAGAAGAAGGAAAGAATTTCATGGGCCGATTGTGGATGATGGCCGTTTGTTCCCAGGATTTTCCTGCAGTAGCTCCGGCACGCGATGCTTCTAGCCTGCCTCCCAACCTCTTGATGCGGGCAAGACGCGGTGAAGGGCCACCGCACAAGGGCAGAGTAAAACAAGATGCAGCTTCGTGTAGATAAATCAATTGCCTATCTGGCATTTCCGATTTGACGGCGCATCTACCATTTCCCAACCGTGCAGCCTTAATTGCAT